GCTTTGCCCTCTGAAAGAATGAAAGCTTAACTTTCATTAGCCCTTTCCAAAAGGGTGAATCAGTCGGTCTAACCGTGACCTGAGACAAAGTTTTGGTTTGAAGATACTTATTACGAAGGATTTGAGCCCAAGTGGCTTCAGTTCCTGAAGCTAACTTCCATAACCACTTACTAAGAAGGCATCGGTTCTTGACCTCGAGATTTTCAATCCCCATACCCCCTTGGTCTTTCGGCCTACAAATGATATCCCACTTCGCTAACCGGTATTTTCTTTTTAGCTCATCTCCCTGCCAAAAGAACCGCGATCGATAGAAGTCCAGTCTTTTCCTTACCCCAACCGGTACTTCAAAAAAAGACAAAAGGAACATGGGCATACTCGTCAACACTGCCAGGTCTTTACTCAATCTCCATTGACGACACATGTGCTCAGGGGAAATCATGTTACGTTAGTGAAATCACAAAGAAAAGGAAAGAAGAAGAAGAAAAAACTCAAATGTCTTTATTTATAATAGGAGAAGAAAGGTCATCTAAGTGCTCACTCAACTCAGTCTAAGCCCAGCCCAACCCAGTCCAACCCATTCTCAGATGGCACATGAGAGAGATACAACGCACATCACGACTCTCTCCGTCTGTCACCAACCACGCCGCCACTGGCCATTCCCTCGTCGCCGGCGCCTCCCCGCCGCCATGTTCCGGTTCCGAAGCTGCATCCTCACCCAGTTCCTCTCTTCTTCCTCCGTCTCCCTAGTTTCTCCTATCCACCGTTTCCTCTCCGCCGCAGCCGGCATTTCCCCGGGCCCTGGCTTTGCCGCCGAGAAGTACCTCGTCTCCACGCTGCCGAGAAGTGGAATGACCCGAGCACAGGCCATCAAGGCCTCCACAAAGCTCTCCCACCTCAGGTCCCCTGCTAAGCCTGACATCGTGCTCACCTTCCTCGCTGGTTTCTGCCTCTCCAGCACCCACGTCGACAAGGACCCGCTAAATAGAAAGGGAGGAAGGTGATGGAGAGCCCCCTTCCTTCTTCTTCTTCTCCTTCCTCTTCCTTGGCCTTCTCCCTAGCTGGGAGAAGTTTCCCCCTCCGGTCCATGGTGTTTTTGGCCTCCTCGGGGGCGAGAGCCTCCCTGAGATTGGATCCTGGAACTTTATGTTTGTCTCTTGCGTCGAAATCTAGGAGGTTTCACCATTTTAGCGACCCACGAAAATCCGTAAGTCCAAAAATATGATTTTTATGGCGGTTTCTTGATTTCAGGAGCAAGTTACCCTCCAAAGGGCAACCACAACTGACCTCCACAGCCTCTATACGGGTAAGGGGCTCGCCACATGGGGAGGTTGTGTGGGGCTCCTTGAGGGTCATGGTCCCCTGAGTCTCTTATTTTCCAAAAAAATCCTCGTAAATCCCCATGCATTTTTCAGCTCCGTAAATATGGATTTTCTAGAATACAAAAAACATCCAGAAAACAACAATTGGCTCTTGGCACTAACTAATATGTTAGTTCAATAAAAATAATATAAAAATGCCCCAAAACCATGCATAATTGATGTGAATACAACATGAATACTTAAAAAAATTATAGATACGCTGAAGTCATATCAACATCCCCAAGCTTAATACCTACTCCTCCTCAAGTAGGTAGATGACCAGAAAATATTTTTGAAGTCTGAATGCTAAAATAGAACAAAAAATTTATCCCATAGAGAATTACAGTTCAAATAACAAATAGCATCATTGTATTAAGTTCAACATAACATAAAGTGATAATGAAGTATCTCGCAAATTTTTTAAGACGATATAACTGCAACCATGGCAACTCCCGTAACAATGATCACCAACATGGGGGTGTCTATCGGGGCGAGGGAAGATAACGTTGATAGGGCAAGCGCTTCAACCACAACAACCCGGCAGAAAACTATTGCATTGGCAACTTTGCTTCCACTAGACATGGTGACGCGAACCTGTAGACAGACACTGGGGCCACGGATCACCTTACTAGTGACTTGGACCATCTGGTTGTGCACACGAGCTACATATAATGGAAGGATCAGGTGCGGGTAGCAAACGGGAAATGCTTGCCCATCTCTTGTATTGGCCACTTAAAACTTCCTAGCTCAAATATTTCTCCTGCACTGACGAATATTTTGCACATTCCAAGTATCCACCAAAATATCTTCTCAATTTATAGATCTGTATATAATGATCTTATTTTTCCATGGAATTTCACTCTTCATGTTTCAATGTGAAGGGTGGGGTAAAAAGAAGGTTGTTCGCGCAGCGGCAGCCTCTAGCCAACTCCTTGTCGCCGGTCGTAAGCAGCACCATGTTCACATGAAGCTTCATCTAGCGTTAGGATTTCTTTGTGTCAATGGCACCAACGTCTTGGTCATTGATAAAATAACGTAATTGAGTGCGTCATTTTTTTTTCGAGATTGACCGGGGGGCAAAAAGCCCCACCGTTTGTTATATTCCAACTCGAAGGTGACTTGGCAGTCAGTACAGATACATGTAAGCGCACAAAGGCGCAAAAAGAAATTACAGGGGAAGGCATCAAGAGAAAGCCCAAAACTAGAAAGAGAAACAAATGGAGGGGAAGGTTGGCAACAGAACCAAACCGAAACCCCTGAAGGCCGACATCTCGGGTAGCGAGCTCCGCTGAGCAGCTTGCCCCACCATTGACAATGAACCACAACCAGACCTAGGGAGAAAAAGATGGGCACCACCACAACAACAACAACAACTCGCAATGGAACATTACTGGCACGAATGAAGGGCGTCGGATAGCCGAATTCGTGCGGCGACACCGGTGTGCGCCGGCAAAGCCAAAGTACAACGCACCACCGAGACCGAAGGGTGCGGCACCGGTGTACCGCCGCCGAGGTCGAAGGGCAGCGTGCTGCCGAAGGCCACCCCAGGATGTCCACGCAAAACGTCATCGGGGCCACCATGAAGCACAGCCCTGCGGAATGGCGACACCAAAGTAGAAGCATATCAAGAAGCATCACTGACGCGAACGAAGGGCATCGGATATCCGAGTTCGAGCGGCGGCACTGGTGTGCCGCCGGCAAAGCCGAGAAGGCAATGCACCACCGAGACCGAAGGGCGCAGCACCGGTGTACTACCGTCGAGGTCGAAGGGCAGCGTGTCGTCGAGGCTACCCCAGGACGTCCAAGCAAGCTCCACTTGAGTCGCCAAGAACAATGACCAGCCAAGATCGAAGCCGAGGTGGAGATGAAGCAGCAAGAGGCGAGTCCACCCGAAGCAGAAGTAATCCAAGAAGATGCCCCCAAGGAGGAAACAGCGTAGAGGCGTCAACACCATCTGACACGGGGAACCCCGGGTCCAAGATTTCTCTCGGGATCTGAGAGCTTGGGAGGGAGGGAAACAATGCCAAAATTGACGCCTTCAAGAAGGGAAAATGGCGGCAGCAGCCGTCACCGTCGATGAGGTTTTCACCCGGCAATGCCTCCTCCACCTCGCAACCGGAGCAAGTCGGCCAACCACCACCGTAGCCCATCAGCCTAGGCAGCCAGGAGCTGCGAAGCGAGCTACGGAGGGCCAGAGAAGCAGCAACACACCAGGCTGCCGCACAAAGACCAAGGCGAGGACGAGGTGCACGGCGGCCAGCGCGAGGACGCAACGAGAGAGCACGGGGAGCTGGTCGGCGAGGCCACCCGAACCCGCCAGATCTGGCGCAGAAGTGCAACCGCCACGAGACCAGCTACGGCCGAGCGAATCTGGCCAGCCGGCGCCCCCCACGGGTCGGAGAGGAAGGGGGTAGGCCGGGCAACGCGCGGGCACCGCAGATCGGGGACGGGGGCGCAGATCGAGTCGCCGTCGTGGGGGCGAGGAGCGGACAGACTAGGGAGGAGGGGGAGCCTCACGGGGGCTGCGCCCGCCGCTGCCAGCCGCCGGCGGGCTCCGCCCGGCGACGTTAGCCGGCAGCGGCGAGGGGAGGCGCTGGAGAAAGAGGGGCTGGCGGCGGCGGCCCTGGTTCCGCCCGAGTCGCCTCCTAGGGAGACGACGCGGGGGCCTTCCTCTCTTCCTCTCTTGTGTCTCTAATCTGCTGTATCATCTTAGAGAGCGAGTGAACTGAGTTACCACTTCCTCATTTGTTCCAGCAAAAGTTTGTCTGTCTTAAGTCATGCGTCATCTATCTGATTCGTGTCAATGTGGTAAAATTTATCAACTCCCTTATTATGCCTCTAACCGTGTTACCACTTCTCCTCTCGAACAGGGACCCTCCTCTTGCATCCACCTTTCAAACATAAATCAGATGTTGAGCAAGTCTTCTACACCTTTCAAACACAGATCAAACGCTTCTCATTACAAAAGGTCATGATATCCAATCCAATTGGGGAGGTTGGGGGGCACAACACAGTGCGGCATATGCACACGCCCAAACAAAGTGGGATTGCTAAGCATAAACATTGACACCTTGTTGAAACCGGAATTACACTCCCACTCACACATCACTCCCTCCTGTAGTTAAAAAGACGGTGGTGTGTCCTCCTCATAAATTATCTCATGGATCATGTCCAGTTTTTTTTACCGTTAGGTATTTACAAAAACTGACTGGTTTCCGGCTTTTGCGTTCCCTTTCGAGAATTACTGGTACCGTCGAAAAAATTTCAACCAAATTTTGATTTGAGCACTGAATAGGTTCAAATAAGGTGTGTACGCAATCGTTGCTACTTCACAGTCCTTGGTGTGGTAGTTAGTGACCGTTTCGTCCATGCGCCGGGTACCAGGTTAGAATGGACTTGTGGGAAGTAACGAAGTGGGCGGGCCACCGGGACAAAAACTACTAATCACAAAACCACGGGGCAATTACATTTATTTTTGGCACCAAAGTTTCTAAATTCACAATTTATTGAATTTTATTGGGCGGTAATTACCGAGATATTCTCAAAACTGGTTCTTACGACCTCCTCCAAAAGAAGGGATTTTCCGGCCTCCTCCGAAAAACCGGGATTGTGAAACCTTGGAGCAGGTACACTATTATTTCTTTATGCAGAGCGGCGAGGAGTAGGAGCTAGCACCTCATGGATCAACTCTTCGAAGTTGCGGCGAGACGAGCCGCCGGGCTTGGTCGCCTTGACCGCCTTTTCCCTCCACTCATGCGCCTTCTTCTTCATCACCTTGCCATTCTCCCCCTCCATGACCTCCGTGATAAGTCCTGAGACGGTGTCACGTCGAACATCGCTGTCGATCTCCATGCCAACGCCCCATTCAGTGCATTGGTACCGGCAGATGGTCTGGTGGTCTGCGAAGAATGGCCAGCTGATGACGGGCACGCCGCCACACATGCTATCCAGTGTCGAGTTCCAGCCGCTATGTGTTAGGAACACGCCCACTGCTGGGTGATTCAACACCTGCTGCTGCGGGCACCAGGAGGAAATGAGACCACGCTCAGCGGTTTCGACCGAGAACTCCGGGGGAAGTACCGCGGTGTCACCCCTGATGAGGTCGAGACGGATGATCCAGAGGAAATGCCTGCCACTCATGGCTAGGCCCCAGGCGAACTCTACCAGCTGCTCGTTGGTCATTATGGTGGTGCTGCCGAAGTTCACGTACACAACGGAGCCAGGCTCCTTGTCGTCGAGCCACGGCAGGCACTCCTCCTCCTGCTTCCACAAGCTCATGCTGATGTTTGAGCTCGGCGCCAGCAGCGGGAGCGGGCCAATGGTGTAGACCTTGGGCAGGCCGAGCGCCTCCATAGCCGCCACCGCCTCTCCCTCGAGGTCATCGAAGGTGTTGATGATCAGTGCCGACGCGCCGACCGCGCGCTCTACGATCCCGAGCGTGAAATGCAACATGTAGTCGTCCGGGTCCGGACTGCGTATGAAGGTCGGGAAGTCCCTCAACCTCATGTTCTGCAGGCCCGGCAAGTCTTCCACTGGCGTGTCAAGGTACTCGTTCGTCAGCTGCTTGAAGTCCTTGATTGGTGCGAGGCCACGGTCGAAGAGGAGGCGGCAGTGCCGGAGAGCGACAAAGCTGACGGCGCTGGTTGCCCATAGCTGGACATAGGGGAGGCCGAGCTCCCTGGCTGCTTCCATGGAGAAGTCCATCACGACGTCGGAGAGGATGCAGGTCACGGGCGGGTGGCCCGTTGCCGGGTCGTTGAGGTCCGCGAGGAGGCGGCGGAAGGGCCCAAGGCAGACCTCCGCGATGGCCTTGCAGATTGACGGGACATCATGCGTGACGTTGTTGTCGGACCGTGACATGCCGTCCGGAATGGTGGCGAAGCGGAACCCCGGGACACCGGCCACCGCGGCCGCGCCCTGCGCATGGACAAGGCGGGCGTGGTCATACTCGGTGTTGACGAAGGTGATGTAGAAGCCGCGGGCGTGGAGCATCTTGGCCACGTCGAGCATTGGGTTGATGTGCCCTTGCGCGGCCGCCGGCAGGCACACGACGTGTGCTTTCTCGCCCAATGCTGAAGATGAACCCATTTCCAGCGGAGACGGCAATGGGATTTTGTGCCCTATTGTGTTGTTGTTGCTGCTGAGGATGCTATGCATTTCTTGGCATGGCTCTGACGACCTTGCCATACATTATTTATAGGTGGCACAATAGGGCAGCAATGGCGATGGGGAAACATACCGTAGACTGAACTGAGATTTCTTTATTGACGTATATCTTTCGATTGAGGATGGAAACTTCCAGTGGAAGCTCTACATGGACATGTCGGGCGGCGGGTTGGACCTTTACACGCTCAAAAGTCTATGTATTTATCTATCTATTATATCTATTATCTATCTTCTATCTATCCATTCTACTTTATCTATATATCTATGTATCTCCTATCTATATATCCATACCCATTATATTAAAAGCAAAATACGGATCAAAAGTCTATGTAGACCTGCCTAGCAAATGAACAACACATATGCCAAAACAAAAGACACGACTAGCCAGCAAACGTTGGCTAGCTAGCGGGTCGAAGCACACACCCAAAAAAGGAAAGATGGTGTCTCAAGGTTGTTGGTTTGGTCAGGAAACATGGTGATTTATCGACACATACTACTACTCTATATGATCCATGTTTTCCTATAGAATCTTACACTATTTTTCATATGGAATCTTACATTATTTTGTGGTCTCTTCCATAATGAATCAAGATTCTCAAGTGTACCTATAGGTCCTAGCCATAGCCAAACTAAGCCTATCTATATCTATATCTATATCTATCTATACCTACTAATAAAGGGGCTATTGCTTCTTACCATTGTATTTTGTTCCTTTTTTGTCCGTCCACCTCACCCATATTAATACGTATATATGAGAGGTTTTTTCTTGAGAGAAAAAAAAGAGATGTATATATGCGAGGTGGTACTATTCTAACCTGCTCGTACGTTTCGCTCCTAGACTTGGGCCTGTAAACACGGTGTCCGTTGGCCCAGCTACAGTAGAATGCGAGGAGAAAAACCACGTTCAATTTTTTCCGGGCCTGGGCCACAGGCCACGTGAGGCCTAGAATCAGGAAAAAAAAATCGAAATCACAACCTCCCCGTCCCGTCCCTTGAAGCTGAAGGAAGATTCGCTCTCCAATAGTCCCACCTTGCTATCTGTATCTAATCACGGCAATTCATATACGTACGTGAGTTGCCTGAAAACAAGCCGCCTTGAAATCAACAAGTACAGGGATCCTCAAGGAAAGCAGATCAAATAATCAAGATTTACAGAGGTGGAAACGAAGGAACAATTGAAATCAAGATTAATTACAAAGCTCCATGGGGAGGAAACAAAGGAATAGCGGACCACGAGATTAGTGGTCGCACCACTCGCCGGCACGGCTGCTCGGCTCCATCGGGTGAAGTGAAGGAAGCAGGTAGGGGGCAAGGAGGCGGCCAGCAGAGTATAGGACGGTGCATGGTGGTGGACGCTCGCCGGAGGCAGCAGCGAGGTCCTGGAAGGAGCTCGCCATGGCCGCTGGCAGTGGTGGTGGAGCTGGGGAGCCGGGGATCCCGGCGGCGCGCGGGGGTGCAGGAGGGGGTACAGTGGCGATGGCGCTGGGCAGCAGGGGGGATCCGGCGGCGTGCTGGTGCTAGGGGATCTCCCGGCGACGTTGGGCTACGGCAGCAGTGGCGGTAGTGTGTGTGAAGGAAATATGCCTTAGAGGCAATAATAAAGTTGTTATTTATATTTCCTTATATCATGATAAATGTTTATTATTCATGCTAGAATTGTATTAACCGGAAACTTAGTACATGTGTGAATACATAGACAAACAGAGTGTCACTAGTTTGCCTCTACTTGACTAGCTCGTTTAATCAATCATGGTTATGTTTCCTAACCATAGACATGAGTTGTCATTTGATTAACGGGATCACATCATTAGAGAATGATGTGATTGACTTGACCCATCCGTTAGCTTAGCACGATGATCGTTTAGTTTGTTGCTATTGCTTCCTTCATAACTATACATGTTCCTATGACTATGAGATCATGCAACTCCCGAGTACCGGAGGAACACTTTGTGTGCTATCAAACGTCACAACGTAACTGAGTGATTATAAAGGTGCTCTACAGGTGTCCCGATGGTGTTTGTTGAGTTGGCATGGATCAAGATTAGGATTTGTCACTTCGATTGTCGGAGAGGTATCTCTGGGCCCTCTCGGTAATGTACATCACTATAAGACTTACAAGCAATGTAGCTAATGAGTTAGTTACGGGATGTAGCATTACGAAACGAGTAAAGAGACTTGCCGGTAACGTGATTGAACTAGGTATTGAGATACCGACGATCGAATCTCGGGGGAGTAACATACCGATGACAAAGGGAACAACGTATATCATTATATGGTTTGACCGATAAAGATCTTCGTAGAATATGTAGGAACCAATATGAGCATCCAGGTTCCGCTATTGTTTATTGACCGGAGACATGTCTCGGTCATGTCTACATAGTTCTCGAACCCGTAGGGTCCGCACGCTTAACGTTCGGTGACGATCGGTATTATGAGTTTATGTGTTTTGATGTACCGAATGTAGTTCAGTGTCACATATTTGATCACAGACATGACGAGGAGTCTTGAAATGGTCGAGACATAAAGATCGATATATTGGACAACTATGTTTGGACATCGGAAGGGTTCCGAGTGAAGTTCGGGCATATACCGGAGTACCGGAGGGTTACCGGAACCCTCCGGGGAGTTTAATGGGCCTTATGGGCCTTAGTGGAAAGATAGGAGGGGCTGCCAGGGCAGGCCACGCGCCCCCTCCCCCTCTGGTCCGAATTGGACTAGGAAGGGGGGCCCTTTCCTTTTCCCTCTTTCCTCCTTCCTTCTCCTACTCCTACTACATGGAAAGGGGGGAAATCCTACTCCCGGTGGGAGTAGGACTCCCCATGGGGCGCGCCATAGGAGGGCCGGCCCTCCGCTTCCTCCATTCTTTTATATACGGGGGAGGGGGGCACCCCATAGACACGCAAGTGCATTGATCTTTTAGCCGTGTGCGGTGCCCCCCTCCACCCTAATCCACCTCGATAATATCATAGCGGTGCTTAGGCGAAGCCCTGTTCCGGTAGCAACATCATCACCGTCATCACGCCATCATGCTGACAAAACTCTCACTCGAAGCTCTACTGAATCGTGAGTTCGTGGGACGTCACCGAGCTGAACGCGTGCAGATCGCGGAGCTTCCGTATCTTCGGTACTAGATCGGTTGATCGTGAAGACGTACGACTACATCAACTGCGTTGTCATAACGCTTCCTCTTACGGTCTACAAGGGTACATAGACGATACTCTCCCCTTTCGTTGCTATGCATCACCATGATCTTGCATGTGCGTAGGAATTTTTTTTAAAATTACTGTGTTCCCAACAGTGGCATCCGAGCCAGGTTTATGCGTAGATGTTATATGCACGAGTAGAACACAAAGGAATTATGGGCGTGAGTATATACATATTGCTTGCCGTCACTAGCTGATTCTTAATTCAGCGGCATTGTTGGATGAAGCGGCCCAGACCGACATTACGCGTCGCTTACGCGAGACTGGTTCTACCGACATTCTTCGCACACAGGTGGCTAGTGGGTGTCTGTTTCTCCAGCTTTAGTTGAATCGGACTCAATGAACAGGGTACTTTCTGAAGATTAAAAAGCAATCACTATACCGCGTTGTGGTTTTTTGATGCGTAGGTAAGAACGGTTCTTGCTCAGCCCGTAGCAGCCACGTAAAACTTGCAACAATAAAGTAGAGGACGTCTAAGTTGTTTTTGCACGGCATGTTGTGATGTGATATGGTCAAGTCATGATGCTAAATTTTATTGTATGAGATTATCATGTTTTGTAATACAGTTATCGGCAACTGGCATGAGCCATATGGTTGTCGCTTTATTGTATGAAATGCAATCGCCATGTAATTGCTTTACTTTATCACTAAGCGGTAGCAATAGTCGTAGAAGCAATAGTTGGTGAGACGGCAACGATGCTTTGATGGAGATCAAGGTGTCAAGCCGGTGATGATGGTGATCATGACAGTGCTTTGGAGATGGAGATCCAAGGCACAAGATGATGATGGCCATATCATATCACTTATATTGATTGCACGTGATGTCTATCCTTTATGCATCTTATTTTGCTTAGTTCGACGATAGCATTATAAGATGATCTCTCACTAAATTTCAAGGTATAAGTGTTCTCCCTGAGTATGCACCGTTGCTACAGTTCGTCGTGCCGAGACACCACGTGATGATCGGATGTGATAAGCTCTACGCTCACATACAATGGGTGCAAGCCAGTTTTGCACACGCGGAATACTCAGGTTAAACTTGACGAGCCTAGCATATGCAGATATGGCCTCGGAACACTGAGACCGAAAGGCCGAGTGTGAATCATATAGTAGATATGATCAATATAGTGATGTTCACCATTGAAAACTACTCCATCTCACGTGATGATCGGACATGGTTTAGTTGATATGGATCACGTGATCACTTAGATGATTAGAGAGATGTCTATCTAAGTGGAAGTTCTTAAGTAATTTGATTAATTGAACTTTAATTTATCATGAACTTAGTACCTGATAGTATTTTGCATATCTATGTTGTTGTAGATAGATGGCCCGTGCCATTCTTCCGTTGAATTTTAATGCGTTCCTAGATAAAACTAAGTTGAAAGATGATGGTAGCAACTACACGGACTGGGTCCATAACTTGAGGATTATCCTCATTGCTGCACAGAAGAATTACATCCTGGAAGCACCGCTAAGTGACAAACCCGCTGCAAGAGCAACGCCAGATGTTACGAACACCTGGCAGAGCAAAGCTGATGACTACTCGACAGTTCAGTGTGCCATGCTTTACGGATTAGAACCGGGACTTCAACGACGTTTTGAACGTCATGGAGCATATGAGATGTTCCAGGAGTTGAAGTTAATATTTCAAGCAAATGCCCGGATTGAGAGATATGAAGTCTCCAATAAGTTCTACAGCTGCAAGATGGAGGAGAATAGTTCTATCAGTAAACATATACTCAGAATGTCTAGGTACCACAACCACTTGACTCAATTGGGAGATAATCTTCGTGATGATAGTGTCATTAACAGAGT